TAAAGATGACGCTTTGTGACGATACCTTTTGCTTTGTTTCTCGCATGGACTGCAGTCTTCTGGTGCCGACAGTGCACAGTGACTGCCGGACTGGTGAAGAGATCCACAACTTTGCTACTTGTTTGCATTGAATGTGACCTTTTTGTAGCTTCTACAAACCTGAGTTCCCGGATAATTTTGCACATTGAATTCGCTCGGTAACTAAATGAATTACTGTATTGCCATACTCGTGGTTAATTTTCACTTTCCTCCTCCTCCTCCTCCTCCTCCTCCTCCTCCTCCTCCTCCTCCTCCTCCTCCTCCTCCTCCTCCTCCTCCTCCTCCTCCTCCTCCTTCTCCTTCTCCTCCTCCTCCTCCTCCTCCTCCTCCTCCTCCTCCTCCTTCTCCTCCTTCTCCTCCTTCTCCTTCTCCTCCTCCTCCTCCTCCTCCTCATCATCAACATCTATATTCTTTTTTCTTCTTCTTTCTCTCCTTTTCTATCATTTTTCCTCCTTCTCCTCCTCTTTTTTCTTCTTCTTCTTCTTCTTCTTCTTCTCATCTTCATTTTTCTTTTGCCCTAAATGCCCCCTCCCCGAATCCTCCAGTGATATTTATCATCAATAATTATCTAAAGATTCTATACGAGGGAAGGCCTGCCCATGAAAGTTTACATGCTTACATATCAAACACTGGTCTTCACACGAGTAGGACATTTTAGTCCGTTATAATAAAAAACTCGTGAGTAATGCATATTCGCATGCACTAAGGAGCATGTTGAGCCTTTGAAGAGCAGCATGGTGAACGGATCCGTCCATGAACGGCTCAAGCCCGGATCCCCATTTAATCTACAGACAAACATTCCCACCGGAATCCCACATATCCGCCCACCTCCCCGACGCCTCCCCGGGGCACGGAGAGGTGTGCGCGCGGTGCATTTCCCCACGGCTCACACCACCGGGTGACGTACCACCCCCCGGGACCACCCTGGGGGATCCGCAGCCCGTCATAATCACCCGTCACACCCCATAATGCCGCGCGACCGCTCCAGCCCACCCCTTCCACGGCCACGCTGGCCATCCGAAATTGGGACACACCGGGGGACCGGGCGCCGCAAACACCGCCCACAAAAACCACCGGCCGCTGATACGTGTTTGGAGTGAGACTACACGTTTAATTCCGTGGCGAGGGCCAGCCGGCATAGCGCGCCTTTCTTCCTGTTCAATAACTCACGTGCCAGGCCGCATGATGCTCTCTCACTCTTTGAGAGCCGAGAGAAAAATTAACTACGGCTGTGGGCCGACCCTATTCCGAAGTCACCACGGCGGCGGCCGGCGGGGTTACCAGCCTTGTAGCTCATTATTCGGCGACACAATGGCGTCCAAAGATCACCGAGCTTGTCATTGAGTGTCACATTTGTTGTCAATTTATTCGGGCGACGGCCGGGCGCGGGCCCATTCAGTCGCTGCCCGGCCGCCACCTCACTAGCACCTCATATTTTCTCCATTGCCATTCTGGCGCGGTCGGCGGGGCCGGTCCGTATTTTTGTCGGCCGTCCCATTGAGTGCGGTCCGGGGAGCGCGGCCCGCCACCGCCGCGCCGGTATGTGCGCGCATTATGAGCGCCCCCTCCAGCTGGGCGCCCCCCTGCGGTGACGTCACGCGGAGGTGACACCGTGACCCGGGGCGTGACACAAAGGAGCCGCTTCCTGCGGCAGCGCGGGCAGTCCCACGGCGCCCAGAACAGCTGGTGCGGCGGGCCGGGATAGACCGCGGCGGACCGGGGCGGCGCGGCGGCCAGGGAAAGGGTTGTCACATTACACTGCCGCAGGGGCCGCGGTGGTGTAATGTGACGGAATTATTTTCGAATTAAGACCCAGCAAATTGATTGTTGAGATGATATTTCTAGTACAATGATGTAAGAAATAGAGGTTTTAATTTGAATAGTAATTATTTGCCTAACGATTGGTGCTACATAAAAATGCAATCCCCCGGTGACCTGAAAAATCCTCAAACGAAATGCAACACAACTTCGCAGCTCAGATGTGAGGTTGGATACTTTTCGCCGGAGGCCGGTTGACATAAAAACGATGGCCAATAGGCGAAGAGCACTGATAAATTAAGGAAATATATTTAGGGTAGAAAAAAATGATACGCTTTCCATGATACGCTTCCAATGAATGATATGCGTGATAGTCAATATTAATCGACATGTTGCTATATTCCGTCTATGACGAAATTAACTATTCGTTTATTGAACAAATCGCGGTAGGCAGCTGCCGTTGCAGAGAACACTTGTCACTTACGAAAACGTTCAGACAAGACACTCGCATGATAATAGTCTTGGGATATATATAGGTTTCTGCTGCATTGATCATAAGAAGATTCAAGCCGATTGCATTGAATTACTTCAAGCTGGTAATTTATTGAATATATTTTTAGTTATATATCTAAGGCCTTGATTTATCCGAATTGATTGTAAATTTGTAAGTAGAACACGTTAACGAGTAAAGGCTTCCAAAAAATGCGGCATTAGGATGGATTTCTGGCATGCCCCTCCTGGAAGGCTGATTGGAGCCTTCCAGGCACAGTCGTTAAACTTGAACATGTTGCAATAGCAAACTTTCCGATTTTATCACAACATGCTTGAGGACAATTTGAAGGGATATGTAATATCTATGTATTGTTCACTTTTATCATGGGAAATGGAGTTTCATTTTCGGAGTTTTTTTCCCTTCTTAATGATAATATAATAATAATGTCATATATTTCGCACCATCAGAGGTATATATGTTGCAGGCACTTTAGAAAATCAGTCATTTTGTAAAATGCCTAGGCATTTTACAAAAAGACGGCTGTTTGAAAAATGACTGAACGCAACCAGGCTTTTTTCAAAATGGCTAGCTATTTTACAAAATGACTAGGCATTTTGCAAAATGCCTGACCAGCATGGAACGTAGATCCCACTACAGATACTATGGCCAACAGTTTTTGGACGTCTTCCTATACCCTATAGGTACGTGTTCAGCCTGTAGCTGATCGATTTGAAGCTCTGTGATGGCGACAATGCTGAGTAACGACCAGGTTGAGTTGCAGACTCGGCTGTAGCATAAAGCATTGTTTAGTTAACGCTGTAAAAACTCCTAAGTACATCAACGCCGTTCATGTTCTGCCTGAAACTAGACCTAACAAAACCAGCCGGAGACCGGCCCTAGTCAATAGGAAGGCCAGGTTGATGTACAATTACATGTAAACGAATGAGTGTAGTCTTTGTTTGATTGTGTCTTTGTTTGACAGCTTTGAGTACCTACTTGCATGGTCCCAGTTAGAAATAGCAAGCTCCACATCGGGAGAATCATCAGGTCGCTTGGCGTAGGACGAGAGCGTTGGTTATAGAAGACACTAACGCCTAAGTGTGTGGGATCGAATCCTCGCGACCTCTAATGGTTTTACAGATACAGGCCGGCATAGGGCCGTCGTTTGTTGACGCTCCAGATCGATCATTTTAAATCCAGCAGCGTCGCTGACGTGGGGGTTGGAAATGTCGCGAGCCTGCACTTCTCAAAATAGAGAGAGGTAGGTATGGACTTCCCACCGCTGGACTCCTCTGGTCATAATGCTGGACTCCTCGGTCCACCTACACGCTACCAAAACGTATATAATTAGGTACTCGTATCTACAACACGCTGCTCAGTCATTTTGTAAAATGGCTAGGTATTTTGTAAAATGCCTAGGCATTTTGCAAAATGACTGGAGAGTCAGTCATTTTGTAAAGTGCCTGCAACATATACATCACAGTCACAAGTACATTACATCCTACATCCACCATACACTCACCAGCAGACAACCACATTCCGTAGTACCATAAATGTTTACGTTGTTCGGCTTCCGATCGTTCGCTGGTCATTCGCTAATCTATAGGTCTCGTCTCAATACAACACGCTTTAAATGAGCAGTGAATATGTTAACGATGCTCGCCTGGCTAGCAGAGGGCAAATCAAGATCCATCAGCCCATATTCACGCCGAACCCCACGATGAACTCTGACCAGTGTTCCATTCTGACAAACGTCACTATCAAGCACGGTTTTGATAATCGTATTTTCACTCGATGTCAGTCGTCTATAGAATAAGAGTTGTTCACTTGCTACATTTGACACGTCAATAATCTGTTAGCATGGCAATTGGCATAGTGGATGATTCCTGAATGATGTTGGCAACCTTAGTAACTTTTTTAAACATGAGTGATAAGCCACGCACAACTCGTGGAAAGCCTTCGTATCTCTCCCAGTGTCCCATAGCTTTAGCTCACAACCGTAAAAACCTGTACAATATGTACGGAACAACTTGACCAGTATGTCTTTACTCGCGTGACTTTTCTTAATGAGGTTGCCTTCCTTTAATTGTTTATATCTATTTTTGCTGTTCAAACTATTTCTTTTCATTTTTTTTGCAATATCTCTGCTGAGTGCTGGTGCTGTAAATTAGGAGCGTAGATCGTTGGCTGCTGAAACTACTGGTAAGAATTAAGATCAACGGTTTCTGCCGTCCAGTGACCTGACTTGGTGGTCCCATGCAAAATACATATCACCTCTGCACCTTTCATAGATACACCTCCGTGTCAGCCTGGACCAACACTTCACATCGGCCCTCCCCAGACCGCGGCTCGCTTACAGAAACATATCCGCCCATTCAATCCACCTCTCGAATAAACATCCCCTCCTATTCGATAGCCCCAGCGCGGTCAGCAAAACGCCGTCACAAAGCCAGCGCCGCGGCATTGAGGCGCAAAAACCGCCCGGTATCTGGGTATTTGTTATTCCGCCTCCATTGATATACATCATTCGTCATTGGGCGGTGATCCATCGTGGCGCGTGTGTTACCTGTCATTTCGACACTTCATTGCCATGGGAACGACCATTCACGCCCCTCGCCCCGCCCACGGCCGGGCGCGGACCAATCAGCGCGCGGGGGCCGGTCGGCGGGCGGTCGCTGCCGCCGCCGCCGCGCTGAGGGCGCGTCGGGCCGGCAGTGACCGTGAGAGCGAGCGCGTGCCGCGGGACCCTGCTGGTCGACAGAGTGACGAGCGTGCAGCCGGTGCAGCATGCTGGGCGGGATGAAGGCGCCGTTCCACCTTGCCGCTGGAAGCGAGGCGGCCAAAAAACTCGGCGTGGAGAAGATGATCGACTTCGGTGACGTCAAGGTGAGTGTGGGAATTCGTCGGCCGTCGATGTCGTTGCAGGATTCGCCGTTGTCGGCGTCGGCGGCGACGGCGGAATCGGCCGTGTATCTATGTGTAGTCAAGCTACCTAAGCTCCACCAGCACCATGCATCAGCTATCTCCCGCCAATTAATGCGAGGTGCTATTCCTCCGTCCCGGAGAGTGGTCTGTTTTATGCTATAATATTGGGCTTCAACCGACTTCGCGTAAGTATTTTTCGTATTTCGTTCGTCTTCAGCCGGTGCCGCCTTGCCAGGATTTGAATCGCCACCGACAGCAGAGGTAAATACTATTGCGCTACAGGCGGCGTGCGATCGCGCTAATATGCCGCGGAACGGTGCCGATGTAGAGCAAATCGTCGGTCACCGCTGAGACACGGCTTATACGGTCATAATGACCCGTGGTTGACGGTCGCGCCCCCCAATACCCAACCAGTGCAGTGACGCCCATGGACTGCATCACTTTGTCCATCAGCTCAGACAACTGATTTCAGAATCATTTTCAATTACAATTTGTAATTTGTATCAAGCCAACCACCCTGAACCCTTCACAGTTCAGCCTCTGATTTATTATTTTTTGTACTTTTGTATGCTATTTTCTATTCTGCGCAGGCTAATTTCGTTTTCTTTCAATGATGGAAAGTGGAAATTACACTGGGCCTGAGCTGATTCCATTGGGAGGTGAGTTATCTGAAATAGCTGCCTGATGGACCCCTGGTGAGCATGGGATTCCATGTAGTTAGTTTCATTCGAATTCTTCACCGTGTAAGAACACTTAAGCAGCTTATGCAAGTACGTAAGACAAGGCTGTGGCAATTATGTCGCAATTTAAACGTTGTCATTGGGTCTCGCACATGTAAAGACGGCTCGTTCCATGTTTTAACTGCACGACTGAAAAAGCAGCGCCGACCGAGCTCCGTCTGCGAGCGTGGCACCTCCAAGCGTCCGTACGTATTGGGCTGCTCTGCAGTGGATGGGTACTGCGCCCAGATCCGTCAGAACGAACGTAAAGAGATAAATGCCAGATTGTGTTGTTTTTATTTGAAATTCAAAACAGAAAGAAAGATGTCCGGATAATTTCGTTTCATTCTGCATGTGTTGTACTTCTGATCCATTAGCATTTGCAAATCTCGGTATGAACGACAATGCATTCGGGATTCGCCGGTCCACTTGCTCGTTCTACTGAAGGAGGGTTTATCTATGACCAATGTCATTGCGGTGTCAGATGGAAACAGATCACAAAATCATGCAGGATGAACTCCCAAAAGCGGTGAGCTTAGTACCTATCAGCATGGCTCATGTGCAGCAGAAGTGTCTTATTTGTCACAAACAAACATAAAGCATGAAAAGGCAGGAGCAAACATAATCCTTGGTTTTCATGCGGGTCAGATAAAAGAGCGTAAAACAATTAGGAATGGTAGTGCTCACAATTACCACTGTTCTGTTCCTGCATATGTAACGTAAAGCGAACGTTAAATGGACGCAATATAAGTTTCATCAATTGCCTGTTTGAACTTACCAAAGTGACTCTCGCTGTTCCGTCTCAACACTCCAGCTGACATAAGCTCAGTGACATTGACTCAAACAGAATGAAGCAACAATCTCTTCGAATAACCATCTGTTCGCTGCTTTTACCGATTACACACAAAGGGTTCTTTTACGAATGTATAGTTCAAACAACACAGTTGAAAGTGAATGCCTAGCGAAACTGCCGGCTGCTGCCATTGGATGACCAAAACGCACATCTGTCGCGTTAGCGTGATAATGCAGATGGTATTGAATGTGCCCGGAAGCAAACGAACAAACAAATTGTCATTGAATCCAGGTAAAGTGCTAAACAACTTTTATTGTGATATCGTTGCATGACATTAATTTGCAATATTTTTTATACCTGCAGGATGGCAAACGACTGATAAAGAAGGGACAAAGCTTGCAGTCTCTTACAGCAAGGGGACAAAACTTGCTTTCGTTTATCCTCACGGAGGCTTTATTCGCTTGTTTTCTTTCATTTAAAATACCCACCTAAATTCTCAACGGTATTTTACCAGTAAAGCGCCTTTGAGGAAGAACGAACGAGCGGGACAGTGAGCCCTGCACGTGCGGAGGTGGGATCGGGTAGGTACTTGCAATTGGCTTGTGCACGGCACCCTACTAACCGGTCACTAGCGGTGCACAAAATTTGGGTGCAATCCTCCCAGCCGTTCTCGAGATCTGGAAGCGGCACACTGCACGTGCGCACGTGCAAACGAGGCCAATCTGAGTTTTGCACGGCACCCTACTAACCAGTCTCCAAATCCCAATCGAGTAGGTACCGAATTTCAGCGCAATCGGCCCAGCCGCTCCCAAGATCTAGAAGCGACCCCTGCATGTCGCACGTGCAGTAGCACCTCAACCGTGGCACATAGGAATGTATTGCCTGGTGGTGGGTGCCTACCTGCATGCCAAGTGTCAGCGAAATCACCCCCAGTAATTACCGAGTTATTGAAATGGGAACAAATTTAACACCTCTTCTTTTTGCGTTTTGCACCTGCAGTGGGGGTGACCCATATGCATCGAGAGTATTCGGTGTTTGATAGAGGGTTCAGTGTTCGGTGGATGTAACTCACCTCAACAAAAATTACCGCATGCCATTGCACAAGCGGTTGCCGGGATATATGCCACTCAAAATCGCCACTTCTGCAAAAAACAGCTTGAACACCCATGACTTTTCACGTGCGGTGCCACGTGCCACGATGGTAACCTAGATGCATCAAAAGTAGTCAATTACGGGGTAGAAGAGATTTGGCTACCCAACAAAAAAGACCACGGGTCAATCGGCCCAGCGGTTGCTGAATTTATCAGCCTCACAAAAGTGGTACAGGCCGGGCCGGGTCGGGTAGGGCCGGGTCGTGCCGGGCCGCTCATACTGGGATATTCCGTTACATTTAAAGGTAGTGTGCCAGCTTTCCTGGACCGTATGGAGTTAATGGCCCAGATAAGGAGAACCGGATTTTTAGAACTTATCCATACCTTCAAAACTCATGGAGGAAACGTCTTAAATTCTTCAAATTTTGAGTACCCCAGTGCGAAATTCGCCCCGACGGGTTGTCGGTCGTACCCCAACCACATTTCACACCACTATGAACAATAAATGCACACACTGAAATCGCTATTACCGACATGCTCATCCAATCAAGTTTCGATAAACCCGTTCATCATCATCTCCTGCGGTTTCGAACACGCCTGTTAGGTGGTGCGGTAGACCGCGCCCAAAGCCAGGGCCCCGGTAACGTGAGGTAGCCGAGTCGGGGCAGCGTGCGCTGACCCAAGCCGGGGCCGCGCGTCCTCCCGGTGTCATGTGATAGCCCGGGGCTGCCCGCGGGGATGCGGTAGACCGCGCCCAAAGCTGCGGCCCCGGCTTGGGTCAGCGCACGCTGCCCCGACTCGGCTACCTCACGTTACCGGGGCCCTGGCTTTGGGCGCGGCTTCTGCTCATACTTTGTGGTGCGGTGTCGGGCCGCGCGCTCTGACTTCGGCCAAGAAAAATGCGTCAGCTGATCATTGTCATTTCTGCCACTTGCGTGTGGTGAAATGGGGTCATAACTTAAGAGACGGCTTTTTCATATCAATTATTTTACATAAAATCATATTTCAAACCATAAATAATGTTCGACAGCCAAATAAAAGAAACAATGCCAATACAGGCTTACAGTTTAAGGTTCGACATTGTGTTGTCTACGATTAGACAGCTGTGGCATTCAAACTTTGCGTCTATCGTAGACTGTATTTCTTCACCCTTCAGACATCTCAACGCGCACACCGACCCGTCCTCTCTCTCGCCCGCCCTGCTCTCCACTGCCCGCCCGTCTCCCAATGTCCAGCCGGGCCGCCCGATATACGGGCCGGCGAGTCCCTGCTGCCGCGCACATGTGTGGCACATGGACCTCCATTTATGACCACTTATGACCCGACGCCGACCCTACGCGACAAGGCTAGAATACAAACTATGTGAACAAACAGAGAGACACATTCCCCCCTGTTCCTAAAGAACACATCTAACTACAATTTAACTAATGGGGGATGGGAGCGCCGAAGAGTTGCGGCGCACGCCTGCAGCGCAAACCCCTTCTTAGCACGTCACTATAACTATCGATATTATCTACACTTTCCGCTGGCGCTCTACCTTCATTCACACGGTCGTTTGACAATCCCTCAGTTTCTGTTTTTACAACTTTCACTGAATGGATCCGCTCCTCTGTTCCGGCACCGCCATCCGCCTCAGCTGCTGCTCGAGGGACCGGCTCGGTCTGCTCGGTCGGCGCGACAGCTGGGGTCAGCTCTGACGGCTCCACCGCCGCCGGCGCCTCAATGGCCAGCTGTCCCGGCACATGGGCGGTCGGAACCGGACAGGCGATCTCCTCTTCCTGCTCATCATCCGTCGAAGCAGCCATTGCGTCGTCACCGTTGTTGGCAAGACGATGACGAATGTTCCGCATGTGCCATGGGACTCCATCCACTTCAATCGTCTGAGCGGATACGACTTTGGTGACAGTGCCCTCCTTTGACACGGCGGTGCACCGATCGCCCCGTTTTCGGACCCACACCGCATCACCGGGCTGATACACACCAGGCTGGCCGGCCGTCTGAGGAGGAGCAGCTGTGTTTCCCTGTGACTGCACGCACAAGTCTCTGCCAGCCTGACGGTAGGCACCATGTATCGGGGCCGTGGTAATATCACGTCCGTCCTTAGGCGTGACATTATAGCGGTGCACGGCTTCTGGTACGGTGCATCCCTGACGGGCGGCCATCACTTTGATGGTGCGGTGGTGGCGCTCGATGATGCCATTCCCACCAGGTTCATAGGCCGCGCGATACCTCAGCTCGACGTCCCACCGCACCGCGAACGCCTTCAGCTCGCGACCCTTGAATTCGGTCGCATTATCCATTAGAAGCTCGGCCGGTGCTCCTCGCTCCAAAAACAGAGCCTCGAGTTGTCTGACGATC